TAGTAGCAAAAAGTTTTTTTTTTCTTTTTCTGAATATAATGAAACAAAAAGTGAAGCCCTAGCAAACATCACACAATGCTTGGCCTCTCCATAGAAAACTATCATCTTTCCAGGCTGAAGTAAATGAGAAGGGAAAGTGTTATTCTTTTATCACTTAAGAGCTTCTGCCAAGGTTCTCCTGAAAGTACAGGTATACTATTTATGGGATGATTAACTGCTCACAAAGTTCTCAAACAGCAGGTTTAAACATTTCTAATTCGAAAGGACAAACATTGTTGATTCACATCAGTATTAAGTTCACTTTGGAGGTGCATCATAAAAGTATAAGGGAGAGGTGCAAATTTCTTTAGTGATTATAAGGACTGCGTGCTGAGAAGCTTGTCAATAAAATCACATTCACAATTGGAGACACTGCAGCCTGTGAATGAGCGATCATCTCTGCTTGGTGGGAGGGATGGGTTACTCCCTCTGAGACAGCATCGGTGGTTTGCAAGCGTATTCTGAAAGTGTGTCTTGGTACTGAGCTCAGCCATTCAGCAGCGTGACTGGCTGTTGGTTCTCCCAGTTATAGTGTGGAGTGTATGTGGTTTGCACTCACTCCTTTGTGCTCTGTGTGGAGGTCTCTGGTCAGAGCCCAGATTTTCCTTAACCAGATTAACCAGACTAAACCGGAGTCTGGCTTCATCTCCCTGGAGGCCAGAAAAGTACGTCGTTTCACATTTGCTTGATTTTCCACTTTGACTATAAAGACTTGCCCTGCCCCAGCAATGGAGAGAGAGCGATTCTCCCCACCCTCGGCTGAGAGCTGCAGTAAAGCAGATGTGGAAAGATGAAACGTCATGATAGAGGAGCATCTTAACCTCCGCGATGTTGTGTTCAAGTTTGTAAGAATGTGATGCTTGCTAAGAAATTTGCAAACCTAAGTGGAGATTATTTTAAATGGCATAACATTTCTTTAAATCATATGTCAGTACTAGGATTTTTGAAAGAAAAAAATGATCGTGTTACTCGATCCTGATGCCTGTGCTGAGTGGAAGGAACAGTCTTATCCTTCATTTTGGCTCCAACAGGGCTCCAGAACGGTGGCCTGTGAGTGGAATCTGGCCCACTGCCTGCTTTTATAAATACATTTTACTGGAACATAGCCATGCCCGTTCGTTTACATAAGTGTCGACGGCTGCTGTCCTGCTACAAAGATAGAGTTGAGTAAGAAAGACAGAGGCCTTATGGCCTGAAATCGTTACTCTCTGGCCCCTTACAGAAAAAGTTTGCAGACTCTTGCATTAGATTATAGCGTTAGGACCATGGGTCTGATCTGACTCTATTCCTCGCTTTTGGAGCTGTGGGCAAGTTATTTAACTCCCCCTTTTGTTTTGTTTCCATTTCATTTATGAAATGGAAGATATTGAAGATTAAATTTGATTGTATTTTACTTATTTTTTTAAATTGAAGTAGAGTCAGTTTCAATGTTGTGTCAGTTTCTGGTGTACAGCACAATGCTTCAGTCATACATATACATGCATACATTCATTTTCATATTCCTTTTCATTATAGGTTAGTACAAGATATTGAATATAGTTTCCTGTGCTGTACAGTAGAAACTTGTTTATCTATTTTATTTATAGTAGTTAGTACCTGCAAATCTCAAACTCCCAATTTATCCCTTCCCACCCTCTGTCTCCCCAGTAACCATAAGTTTGATTTCTATGTCTGTGAGTTTGTTTCTGTTATAAATAAGTTCATTTTTATCTTTTTTTGGGGGGGGAGGGTGGATTCCACATATGAGTGATATTATATGGTATTTTTCTTTCTCTTTCTAGCTTACTTCACTTAGAATGACATTCTCCAGGGCCATCCATGTTGCTGCAAATGACATTATTTTATTCTACTTCAAGGCAGAGTAGTACTCCATTGTATAAATATACCACAACTTCTTTATCCAGTCCTCTGTTGATGGACATTTAGGTTGTTTCCGTGTCTTGGCTGTTGTAAATAGCGATGCTGTGAACATTGGAGTGCTAAGGATTAAATTTTAAATTAGATTATATATTTAAAGCCAGTACTGTCCATGTTCCAGGCCCTACAAGTATTGTGGACGGGCCCATATATAGCATAGTGCCTAACACATAGGAAGCACTTGATAAATGTATAAATGTATAGGACAGCTAATTCCTTTAGTTGTTATTGTCTTATGCCACTCTGTGGCCATTGCCCTGGGGTTGTAGGGATCCCAGTGTGTTCCTTGCCCACTGCTCTGCCAGATGGCAGCTCTATTTCCTACATAAGGAGGCAGTAAATGACTACTGAGATTTCATGAATGGTGTGGTTCGGAAGGACATAGGTGAAGCTGGGTGATGCGGTGTGAAGAACACAGGAATCACCCTGTCAAGTCAAAACCCCCGATGTCAGGACAGCATATGGAATGTGGGCTCTGGAAGCCAGAATTCCTGGGTTTTTATCTTTGCTCAACTGCACACGAGCTGTGTGACCTAATTCAGCAAATCAGTTCACTTCTCTTCTTTGGTGTCTTCCCGAGTTAAAAGCTGCTGACAGTGACTCCCATGGATGAGAGGATGAGCTAAGCTCGTGTAGAGAATGTGTTCGGTCAGTGTTTGTCCTCAGTGGGGTTGCTTTATGGAGGCAGGGCGAGGAGGGAGCTGGCCTGGGAGATGGAGGCAGTGGGCGGGGGGAGGCTGCAGGGCGCACCCCCAGTGTTTCAGTGGGGTGTTCACATGTCACCTTTTCAGGGAGGCTTCCTTGACCACCCACCACTCCCTCCCCGCCCTGGACTCCCTCTTTCTCTTTCCCACTTGACTTTTCTCCACCTGACATGTCATACTCTATGTGACCTACTCAGTTTCACTTGCTCGTTGGCTGTTCTTCCCATCAGTGTGAGCTTTGCGGGGTATGAATGATTGTTTTGTCCACTTGTGCCTGTCACCGCCGCAGGTATGTAATCTGTGTTTTATTCATAATTGTATTTTTAGCGCCTAGCGTACTACCAGTCATGTACTAGAGAGAGAATGAATAAATAATTGAACCAGTAAATGAATGATGTTAGTTCAAGGCCATTTAGGGCATTACTGTCAGACTCATGTAGGATTCCTTAACGCAAGCTTGCTTCATTGTTGAAATATACTGTAATAATTTGTATCATTGTCTTTGAAAAGAAGTGAGTTTTGGCTAAAGTTCAGATGGGAATAATGAGTACAAATGAAATGTTTGTGTTTTTCTGAGGCCAGTCAACAGGCAGGAAGCATCTC